CAGGGGTGAGCTTTTGAAACTAGCCTCGGAAACATCGTGAGCAGCATGTGTGGTTGTCCAGTTTCCCATGGCTCATGAGATTCAGAGTATAACGAATGAGACTGCTCCAGATTTTGACAGACTCACTCAGGTCAGATTTACACTAGAATGACTCAGTTCTCGCCAACAGTTTTATACTGTCATTTTATAAGAAAAAATAATAGATTTGAGTGAAAACCAATGTTTTAATACTTCTGAAAAATGGTCTAAAATGTAGTATCAGGAACTAATTGTAATTGCATACTAGGGAAGTCTGGGAACTCTTATTTAATTACATTCAACATTGGTACTTTCTGGACTGGAGACTGAGCTAGGCTGTGGGCAAATGGTTAATTAATTTTTCTCTCTTTTTTTGTATTTTCTTTCTTTTATAAGAATATGGAATGCTTCATGAATTTGTGCACTAAAAATTCAAAACAGTGCCCAAAATAAGCTGTCTGTAAGAGAATATCTGAACTCAAGCACACACTGTAAGCTGTCTGTAAGAGAATATCTGAACTCAAGCACACACTGTAAGCTGTCTGTAAGAGAATATCTGAACTCGACCACACACTGTAAGCTGTCTGTAAGCATATTCTAAAATATGAAAACTATATCAGCAATTGGAATCTTCAACATGAGAGATTAGTAGCAAGTGGGTAAGTTTATACAAAGTGAAAGTTATATGTTTCTAAACAAATGCTTGCCAGGAATACACTATCACGTGCCTACTCATTTGGTCAAAGTTAAGATCCACCTATCCATTGTGTGTTCTTCTGGCTAAAAATTAACAATTCAGTTTGAACATATTTCATCTGAACCATCTATACTAATAAAAAGGTAATATGTTAATTAGACTGGATGACTTCCAGACGACCATCCAGACGTCTTTCCTGACAAAGCCGCCTGCCCGTGGGCCCAAGCTGCCAGTGCCTGTGGCTGCGGCCCAGGAGAGGGAGAAGCTGCCCGCCCCATGGTCCCAGGTGCCAGCACCTGCAGCTGTGGCCTAGGAGACGGAGAAGCTGCCTGCCCCATGGTCCCGGGTGCCTGTGCCTGCAGCTGTGGCCTGGGAGAAGCTGCCCATCCACAGTCCCCTGCGGCTGTGGCCGGCCTGGGCAAAGCCAGCCTGGGTCCTGGGTGCTTACAGCCGGCCAGAGGGAGGGGAAACTCGGGTCCCAGTGCCTGCAGCTGGCTGGATGAGGGAATCCTGGGTCCCAGGTGCAGGCCAAGGCACAGGCAGTTAGGGATGATCAGGCCAGCAGGTGAGCAGTTAGGGGGATCAGGCAGGCAGCCAGAGGTGGTTAGGGGCAATCAGGCAGGCAGGAAGACGAGCAGTTACTAGCCAGTGGTCCTGGATTGCAAGAGTCATGTCCGACTGCTGGTTGTGGGATCGGGCCTAAACTGGCAGTCGGACATCCCCAATGGGGTCCAGGATTGGAAAGGGTGCAGGCCAGGCTGAGGGACTGAATTTCATGCACTGGGCCTCTAGTTTATAATAATATCCCCTTTACTCCATTTCTCATCTAGGATTTTTTTCTTGTTTTTTTTTTCTTCTAATTTTACTATTAGCCCTGAGGGCTTCTCCTTTTCATAAGATTTTGGGCAGACACATGCTAAGTTTCCCTACCTGTCTGTTTCTGAAATTGGATTTCTGAAGGATGAAGGGGCTGGTCTTCTTGACCTTTGTTTTAAAAGATTGTCTTGTTAATAAGACTACTTCCTTCCCATTCCATTGAGGCAATGAACATAATGCCCGAGGAAATGGATGCTTTAGTATTCTGGCCAAAGTCTTTGCCTACCTTAGGTTTTATATGGTGAAACCTGAGGGCCTCTCTTTGAAGTTATACCCTGTATCCTGTGTCTCTATAGTCTTTCTCACAAAAGAGGTGGAATCTATTCCCCATATCTAGCCTTCGAATTGCTTTGACCAACAGAATTCAGTAGAAGTGACGGTGTGCCAGTTCTCATCACTGAACAGTTGGTCAACCCCAGACACGTGAACAAGCCCAGCTGGGATCAGAAGGGTCCTGCCCACATCAGCTGAATCCCATATCCCACAAGCTGAAGAAATACCTTTTATTGAAGTTTTATGGCTGTCATGCAGCATTACTGTGGCAATAGAAAACTATTACCAGTGGCAGTGGATATAATGTGATTGTGATTGGCTCCTAGCCTCCACCACCAAGCTCACTCTTGTCACTTAATTGACCTCATAAAAACACGACCTGGTAATGCATGTCAATGAGGTGGTTGGACTCTACTTACGGGGCTAGGCGGTGTGGTGTCATATTGTATTTTCATTAAGTTCTCAATTAATGAATTAAGAAGGAGCTCTAAAATATTTGGTCTACTGAGAGTTGAATGGTGGTGGTAGTGGCCAGGGAGATATCCAAGAGCAATGATATCAAAAGTAACAAGCTGAAGACTTAGCATAAAAACCACGTTTCCATTTGTCCTCATTTCCATTGTTAAATACCTACTCAAAAGGTTGCTGGAAACTAACAATTATTTCCTTAGGGATGCTTGATGTGAATATTACTTTGGGTTAGGCAGGGTATTTAAAATGCATGTTCATTAGAGAGTATCAATTTTCTTTATTTTAACAAATTATATGTTTTGAGATTTTTCTATTTCACAGGTAGCTTTTAACTTTAGAATCAAGTAACACGTTTATTGCTTGACACTACTTCCCACAGGATGGCTTCAGAAATGGATTAATCTTACTGCCAGAGTGGTTAAAATCCAGAGTGCATATAAACAGCACATTATTTAAGAGCATGAGGCTAAAAGTGGATTTGAAAAGGTAATCACTCAAGTTATTAAAATAAAAAAAGCTCAATAGGCTTAGGTACATTTTCAATATCCAACGTTATTTTTTCCATATTAATAAAGTCTTCCATCTGTAAAGGAAATTAGAGAGAGAGAGAGAGAGAGAGAGAGAGGAGAATAGAGGAAATGAGAGCAAGAGAGAATGTAATAATGTGTATGAGAGAAACTTCAGGAAAATATGTGGATTTATCAGGAGACTTATTTTTTTATTTCATTTTTATAAATGTTCATTCAGACTTCAGATTCTCTCAGTGAACACTTAAGGAGAATATCAAAGTCATCTTGTGTTAAAATTACTTTTATTCAGGATGAAAAATACATGTAACCACATTGGATGATAGTCTATGGTTAGTACTTGACCACATATTTCCAAAGAACTACATACTTATTTCCCTTGGTTTTACTGCATTATATTCCTTTTTATTTAATATTTCTTACAAGGTTACAATGTAGTGTTTTATGTAGTTTTTCCTTAATAGCAGATAGAGGACGTGTTGCACACAATTACAGGCAGGAAAAAACTAATACATAACTTTTTCAAAGAACAAGGGAGACACCAAATCTACAACTTGTAGTTCAGAGTTCAGGGATTTTTTTTTCTTCTTTGAATACATACTTTTCTTGGGTATAATGTGGCTGATAAAAGCTTTAAGTTTTGCAGACTGTAGCGATATAAAGCTGTTTCTGACACAATGGATGAAGACGGGTTTGAGGTAGAAAGGTGGTCATGGCTTTCCTCTTGTATAAAACAATCTTCTTCTCAAAATATCTATGCCCCCTAACCCACCCGACCTATTCACAAAGAATAGAATTTCTAACTTTAAGCCTCCTTCTGGCCAGATCCCAGGTCAAGAGAACTCAAAGTTAAACTGTCCTGCTGTTTTAAAAGCACATGTGCTTGAATCAAAACACATTACTTTAACTTAAAAAAAATTCTCTACATTTGGTAAGTATATGCCATGTTTAAACTGAGTGAATGAAATGCTAAATCAGAAGTTAAACCAAATGCCTACTTGAATGCACTCAAAATTAGGCAGGGTACGACATCCAAGCATTTAATTTCATTCTTCTGCAGAAGTAGTGGCATAGGCTTTTGATACATTCTTCCCAAATGTACAGGTTACATAAAGGACAATAAAATCTGTTTATTCGCCCAAAAGGGGAAATGAGATGTGCACTCAATTTGTGTCTGCTTTAAAAAAGAAAAGAACTGGAAGTTTCAAGAATTATAAGGGGCTTAAATATACATAAACAACAATAAAATTTTCTTTAAAGGGAACCAAAGGCAATAATGTGTCTGGCATTATAATTGGTTAAAGGTCTGCTGTGTATTTAATGATGAAAATCAAGATCTGGGAACTAGGAAAGATTGTACTAAGTGTTGTTTTTGTGCCAAAAATAAAAATATGCCTAAATAGGCAACCTTTGGTAAAATGAGCTGTGAGATTATTATAAATCTGCTTTAAGTCTCCTCCACCATATAAACTCAGGGCGGGGGATGAAATAAATAAAGAAATCAAGAGTTACTTATATAGAGCAGGCAAATAAAATGCAGGGAAAAATACCAATGGACATACCAGTTAGACCCACTGGCTTTTTATGGTAGTTATCCAAGTGGTTGCTAAGAAAAAATTAAGTATATGTTGTCAAATAAAGTTAAAAAGTATACATAGAGCTGTAGCCTGATCCACACACCTGTAATATAACTGATTGAACTATATGAACCTATTAATTGCCCAAATCATGAAAACAAATATAGGAAATCTATTTGGTCGTGTGAATGATGAGTTTATAAATAACCATACAGGTAAGAGAGTTGAAAAAATACATGAAGTTATTGTACAAGGTTAATAGAAAGGAATGTAAAACTGTCTCCTAGTTCCTATGCAATTTTTGTCACGGTTATTAAAAACAAATACCACTCTGTTCATTCATTTACAGTTGCATAGAAAGGGAAGGAGAAAACAATAACATAGTATTATTATAAAAACAGAATATCCTTCTGTCTTTGGATAGTCAGTGTTTCACGCCTTCAGTAGGACACACAGTCGGCGCTCAGCAGCCTGCTTCAAAGAGCCATGGAGCTTCTGATTAAATGGGGCCTGGACTGGCATTTGCTGGAAAGGGCAATACTGAAGGTCAGGAAATGTTTGTTGGCTAGATGAGTACTTCACATTGCCTGCGGGAAGGGAAAACCGTGCTGTCAGAACAACATTTACATAAACTACTACAGGTAGCAGAAGCCTGTCAACTCTTCAAGGAAAAAGAAGTGCTTCTTTCAGAACACACACCCTAGTTTGCTACGTTCAGAGGGGACCTTGACTCCCACGTGACTTCTGCTCCCTGAGGGAGGCCCTTTCCTCATCCTGAAATCAGTCTGCCCTTTGTCACTGCAGCCAACACAGAGGAGGCCTGGAAGGCTGCTCTTGGCCAGGTTGGACAGCAAGTTAAAATTGAGAGGACTTGTCTTTTTCTTGTGGGAGGTACCAAAGGTAAGTAAATTAGGCTGGTGCAAACACCCCAATCTCCCACTCTTCCTACACTGCCTCACTCCTTCCTAGGGCCTCCTGTGTTTTTCAGGGCATTTTTTTCTCTCTCATCCCTAAAAACACTCAGCTTTGAATGTCATGCCATCAGACTATACCACCCACTATGCATCACCTTCTGACCCCAGGGTCAATGTTCCCTTACTTCTTGATGAAGAAATGGTACACTGCCACCAAATTTGATGATTTCAACACCTACATAGATGATTCTTCCAACACTCTGCCCTCTTCATTCTTTGAGGTCAATGCCTCCAACTAACTTGTACTCCACTCATCTTAGCCACTCACTCAAAGTTCCAAATATGGACCATTACCAGATGCCTGCAACTGCTCCCACATTCCAATTTCAATAACCCCACCTTCTGACAACCACCTCTATCCTTCCAGCTTGCTTCTGCTAAGGCCCAACTTCATTTATCCTTTGATGCTACAATGCATGGATTCTCCCACCTTTTTCCTGTCTCCCACACCTAAGACATCCTCACTTCTTTTCCTATCAAACGTAGATGCCTGGTTCAATCATTATCATCACTCCTTTAACTCTTCCCTTGAATTGCTGTACGTACTCTCTTGGCCAAACCACAACTTCCACTTCGATTAACTGTAACCCTTGGCCTACTCTGATGCCTGTGCTCATGAACTTGAATGTGGCTAGAGGGCAACATGCAGGCCCACCCCGACCTCACATTTTAGTCACTAACAGGCACCTTTCTTGGCGCCCTATAATGCTGCCTGGCAGTCAGACATACTCTGTTCCAGGGTCTATGTGGCACCTCTTCTGTCTTACCTCACACCTATGCTACTCCCTCTCATCCTCACTGCGCTGAAGGGTCCTGGCTGTTGACTCACTAAGACACCAAAAGCAATCAGAGAGGAATTTTGCTCCCTGGGGTGAGGTCCTTCTGTCTCGCCAGCTCTCACACCCACATCCCTTTCTCCGCTTTATGTTCCTTGGTTACTAAAGACAAACCGCCTGTGCTTCTCATTAAGATCCCAGCTTCTCTTGTCAATACGACAATCAGAAGACGTTTCAATGTTTCAAAAAGATCAATAAAAAAGTTCATGGAGGAAAATGTTCTCCAAAGAGCTGTGGTCTTATGGCACATTATTACTAAGAGTACCTATAATATGATAAGGAAAATACGATACAAGTCTGTGGCTGCCAACAGTCCTCAGCAAATTTTTAAATGAAAAGTCAACTCCTCTCCCCACCTCAAAGTAACAAAGCCACCTTTGTGTACTGCTCTGGTCACTGTTTTTAATCCATGTTCTGTGATAACCACCTTAAGTAGATATCTGGGAGAACAGTGGTCAGCCAAATCTATCCAAGCTAACTATACATTGGATATATGAGGCTGTTAAAAAAGCGATTAGAACACAAAGGATCAAGCACTGCATATTTTGGGCATCTGGGAGAACTGGCCTGGGAGGGGTCCCCCCCACCCCCAGACTGACAAACTGTTGTACTGAATCAGCTAACATTTCAATGTCGAGCAAGTTTACTTATTTACATGGGGAATAAAGTAGCACTAAAATTGATAGTGGCTAATCTGCTTACTCTAAGTTGTAGTCAACACATGAGCCAACCAATCTGAAGACTTATAGGAACTTCAATATAATTTGTGGCCCAACTTTTGGATTTTTACAGTTTGAACTGAGGCTGCTTTCAGTGCTGGACTTTGCTCTGTGGACTTGGAATGAACAGCCTTTCTGTGCTGTCTGATTTTGGTTGGCAAGACACCTCAAAGCTTTTGTTCTACAAGCCTGAACCTGAACTGGAATGTTGACAAATGCCCAATCATGTTACCCATTGTTCTCACAGCCTCACTTGCTGACCACTGAGTCAGCGGACTGTTGAAAGCCCAGTTGCCCCCACCAATCAGAAAATGAATAATGTAAGTTTGTGCTCTTGTTTCTCCTGGTAACCCGTTTCTCTGATTGTCAGCTCCCTGCAAATTTGCCTTTAAACGCTTTGCCTATCTCTCTGTCTTCAGTTCATGCTGAGGGCTATGTCCCTGATTTGCAAATCATATATGAACAAAACTCTCTTTTGATTTCTGTTGGAATTTTTGTTAACAAAACCATGAACTCTTACCTGTGGCCTGCCGGGGAGATTTGCTGAAAGAGAAAACAAAAAAAATAAGTTGAAGGTGGTACGGTTGTTAGGCTGGTTCCCCCTCTAAGGCATGCAAAAGTGTGCCCTTTTCAGCATGGTAAATGGATGCTAATAAAACAAGAAACAGTTTTTGCCTTTTTTTGCTAGATGATTTAAAACAAGGGCTAATTTTCCGTTTTTCATATCCCAAGTGCTTTAAGATACACAAATTCCACAAAAATATGCAAAGCATATGCTGGCTCTGTCAAAAAGTATACACTAAAGCATTCAGTGAGTTCTTAGTTTTGCAAAAAAAAAAAAATCTCAAAATTGCCCATTGAAATCTTGCCATGTATTAGGTTTATGTATCGGAACAGAGCAAAAGCTGTATATTTTGCTGAATAGTACCAGTTCTGACCAAGAAGTCATTAGGGAAATGAAGGTGCATGAGTCTTTCATGTCTGCCACCCTTGACTCACCCTTGCCCCAAAGGCTAGGAAGATGGTAGCGATGTGCTTACATCAAGAAAAAGGCTGGGCTAATCCCTGAGAGTCTTCTAGGAACTTGGGCGACTAGTTGTGCCTCCCATGGCCCCAGTTAAGAGCATTGGAGAAGTTAGAACCTGGCATCTAATTGACCTTTGCATCTGATTTGCAGCTCAATTCCTTCCTCGTAACAGAGGGCATCGGACAGTGTAGCTGCTCTGGCGTGCACTGAGGGCAGCCACTAGGAATATTGTTTTTAATTTTTTTTATTATTTTTTTAAAATATATTTTATTGATTTTTTACAGAGAGGAAGGGAGAGAGATAGAGAGTTAGAAACATCGATGAGAGAGAAACATCGATCAGCTGCCTCCTGCACATCTCCTACTGGGGATGTGCCCCCAACCCAGGTACATGCCCTTGACCGGAATCGAACCTGGGACCTTTCAGTCCGCAAGCCGACGCTCTATCCACTGAGCCAAACCGGTTTCGGTGGAATACTGTTTTTAAAGCCTCTGCTTTTTCGTCTCGCCTTTTCACTGACAAAATCTCATGATTCTCTCATATTCAATCCTACTGGGGAGTGGGAGCCCCGCCCCTCCAGTGAGGGCAACATCTGTGCTGTGTCAAATAAGAATTGTCCCTAGTCATCCAGCCCGCTTCACTCCTTCCCTCTCTCATTTTTCTGTTCTTAGGGGAAAAAAAGATATCTGTGACCACACAGACAGTGCTAGTAGCTCTGTGAGAATAAAAGAGCAAATGAGGACAACCTTTTTATGATGCCTGCATGGGGAAAAGTGAGCCCCAGGAGTAGCAGGGGAAGAATCAGCTAGGGCCAGCCTAGTCCTACCGGGCATGTAAGTTACAACAGGAAGAAAGTGAGTGGACCTCCTCACACACGTGAGCTACACAAGGGAGAGCTTAGCAGCATTAGTATTAAGTACCACATGGGAGAGTTACGCTTCTAAGTAATGAATAACCAAACCCAAACAGAAATCGAATCCATTTTGCTCCAAACCAACATTTAAAACCCCACAGCTTTTTATCAAATAAAAGGCTTTGGGTACTCCCCTGAACAAATCATACAAATATATTTCTAAGAAATCAGGAAATCATTGCATTTTTGTAGGTTTTGTGTATTTTTTATAAATGTCACTCAAGCTTAATAAATGTAGGCAATTCACAGTGCAAATATGTCTATAGATATAAATAAATTTAAAAGCATTTGTTGCTTTTAAAGCAAAAAATACTCAATTGACTATTGGTATCCCATATATTTAGACAACATAAATGAGAAAACTAACAAAACATTTTACAGTAGAAAAACAGTTACATCAGTCAGTGGAAATTTTAGTGTGTACTTTGGTTAATAAACAACACAATTAAATTCCCTTCATTAACTCCTTGCCAGAAAGAGATGGTCATACCTGCCTCTTTGCTCTGAAACAATGTAAATAATTAAAAGAAGACTTTTAAGGGCTATAAGACAGAGGAATTCTAAGGTGTTACATGCGGCAATATATAGATACAGTGAAATTAAAAAAAGCCATGTTTAAGGAGGCAATTCATGCAATTAGGATTTATGAATACAGTTTCATTTTAATTCCAAGATTGCCAGGAGTAGAAATTAACTTGTGACCATGCTAATTTTTAATCCACAAAGGATCAAAAGTCACGATTAATATGCAGATCAATTCATTGTGTGCTAGTGACAAGTAATTTTAAAGTTCTCATTAGTTACAGGGGCTTGTGAGACTGGCTTGGCATTGGGACGGTGCCAAGATGACTTGCTTAGAAAAATTCTCCAAAGGTGGTCAGTAAGCTTTGTGAATTTGAAGATTAAAATATTTGCTAGCTTAGCAACTTAAAAGGGACAACAAAGCAAATGAATCCTGTGGAACCTTCCGAGTACTGTATGTTGAAACTTCAACAGCTTAACCTTCCCAGTGGGAAAATGAAATCATCCATCATGATATTTAAATAAAAACTTTTAATTGGCTTTGATTACGTAATTTTTAAAAATTAGTTATTAATGTATTTAGATTTAAGCTGACCCAAAAAGTAATTTCATTTGTAAATTTAATTTTGAAATTCTGGCTTAGAAAGACTATATCTAGTCATTAAGTAACATACAACCTCAGAACCCAATTCTCTAGAAAATTCAACCTTGAAGTATAATTAATATAAAAAATTTAATTTGTTCATCTCTGATGGCTGTTACAAAGCCTCGAAGAAAAGCAACAATCTGATAGCCTATGAACTTAATGCCTCTGTAAATATCTACAGTACACACAAGCTTTTTTAGGGGCTGAGTGTGGGGACTGTCATAGAGTAAATGCGATTCAGCAAATTCGAGAAGTAGAACTACAAATTATAACCTGGAAAATGACTCAGTCCCAAATACAAATATATTTATGACTGTAGAAACTGTAATATGTTCCTTAGGCAAATACTCCTAAAAATTCAGAAATGACTATTTTTCAAAGAGGTGTTTGCACTTCCTGCTAATGATCAATTTTGTAAACTGTAGAGTGGCATAAATTGAAGGGTATTTTGTAAATGAAGTCCGTATATCTTATTTATCTATACTCCTGATAATGCTTTTTTCCCTCATTTAGGATAGTATTTTCCAAAAAGAAGATGGAAAAGGGTAAGATGAGAGGCTGTTTATATGTATACTACACATATATAACATATGATAAATGATAGTATATATACGTACTAAACTCTTTAGAGGCTGCTTAGATTTAAAAATCATGAATAATTTATAAAAATTATAAATAATATATTCATATTTCTTTAAACAATTTTAAAAAATGTAATTGTAGCATTAAATAGTATGGATATGTATTTAAGTCAATTGTTTCTGTGTGAAACAGAAGAAGTGTTTTTGGTGAGAGCTCAGCAGAAACTGCAAAGTGGCAAGATGCTGAAGACAAACTGTTTGAAGAAAATCAATACATAAGAATTATTAATAAGTTCCTTTAGGAATTGAGCTGCTTCTATTTTGTTATTATCTGGCTCTTGGTTGTTCATATGGAAAATTCACAGGGTTATCATCTGTGAGACCTTTAATGGCCTTGCCTTTACACAGTGACTACTTTATCTTATAATAAAAGAAACCAGAAGAAAACAAGAGGAAAACCTGAAAATAATCCCTTTCTGTACCTGCGTCTGATGATATCAGACATCAATGTCTGGAAAAGAAATTACATTAGAAAAGGCCTTGTTTGGCATGCCACTGAAAGCTCCATTTTCAGGTAACACACATTTCTTACTAAAGCTTACACTGAAGAGAATAACTTCTTCTTAAAAAACAAAACAAAAAACAGACTTATTTTTATTGCCTTCACGTTATCAGGCTCACAAGGCTTAGGAGAAACCTCCAAGAGCAGGACTGCGCTGTTGCTGTTCTCCAGGGAGGGGATGGGATCTATGCTGAGCTTCTTGTGCTTTGCTGACATACAGAATGTTTGCTTCATTTTCAATTAACAGTCAATCCGGTTCTAATATAGGTTTTTGTTCTCTTATCTAAGAAGACAGAGGGCCCCACACCAGGAAAAACAATGGAAGGAGAAGGTGCAGGGGTGGTGTTAGTTCATTCATACTCACAGCAGCAGGATGGAAACGAGCTGTTGATCTGCTCCATCACCTCCGTGAGGTCGGTGCTGGTGTCATGAGGCGGGGCCAGCAGGTCCTCCGCTGCTGGGACAGCCATAAAAAGAACAGACATTTTGAAATTAATGTCTGGCCTTTCACCAAAACCCAACTTCAAGAGAAAAAACAAGCTGTGGCCTCTAAATATCAATGGGAAAATAATTCTGTAGAGCAAGCATGCGAAACTCAAAGGCTAACACCGGCCAAATAAATGAGGCATGCAGCCCGCGGGCCGCGAGTTTGACATGCTTGCTGGAAAGAATGACAGTTTTAGGGAAAAATACCAAAACCACTTTTGTATTAATTTGTCAGTAATATATTTGCATACATAAATAAAGTATAGTAGATACTTCTGTGGAAAAAAACCGTGCTAGTGAAAAATTCATGAGTGAAAAATACAGAATGTAGTCACATTATTTCAATGTATTGTTTGGAATTTCATTATTTGGTGTTGCAACTATTTTTTCATATGAGAAAAATATCCTACCAATTTCTTTTTCACCACAAAACTAGAGGTATCTCATAAGAGACTTTATACTTTCATGTATTTATTCGATAATCAATAGCAAAATAATTCTTATTTTAACAAATTAAAACAGCATTAATATTTTAGGTTTTCTCCTGATTAATATAGCAAAAGATATCTCATAAACAAATTAAATTGGTTAAAGTATGTGGTCCTCAGCAGAATTGAGGAACTTGAATTTTATCAGTAATAGAATGTGATTCCGAATGCCTGGTTGACAGAGTCCTAACTAGCAGCACTGACAGGTCCTCTCTGTGACAGGGTGGAGGGGACCTCTGCTTCAGATGCTGGTGGTAGAGGTGGCAATGTCTACGGTGACTGGGATGCAGAAAGCAGAATCTAAGTCCCTAGACCTGGGCAGAGAAAACCATGTTTGGTACACTGTCCTTTAGTGTTATATTCTGAAGTAGTAGACCTGTGCATGAATCTGTGCGTGAGTAGCTGCTGCCGCTTGTTTCTGTGGGAAACAGAAGTGTTGTTCAGCTGGGCACCCCGCCCACCACCGCTGGTAGCTCTCCGAGGCTTGTAGCTCACTGGCCCGCTCTCCTGTAGTTCTCCCTACTCTTAGCTTGCTGCCCTGCCCTCCTGTAGCTCCCCCCTTCTTGTAGATCAGTCTTGATGTTATGGAGTCCCAGCTAATTTGCATATTCCTCTCTTATTATATTAGATATGTACAAATCTGACATTTTAGAGAAAAAAAAATTACTAAAAAGAGAAAAAAGAATCATTCCCAATGCAAAAAAACTTAAATTGTTGCTCATCCCAAAAGAAAAGAGCATTTTTTTCATCTTTCACCGAAGTTCAATCCACTACTACACCCTATGTATGTACATGTATTAGAGCTATTATTCTAAAATGTATGCTTTTTTTGATATTGTTAAAATGGTTTTGTGTACCCATCTGAGACCAAAGAGAAAAGAAAGCTCCTTTGTGCCCTAAGGCACCCATGTGTAAGAATGCTATTTCACATGAAAAACAAACAAATGGCAAAGGCCCGAGCAGTGTAGGGGAGGGGCCGAGTCTCGGAGACACTGACCTGTGGAACTGTGGAGCTGTGGGCCGGCATCAGGATCGAGCGAGTGGCTCAGTGCAGATCTCTGAGGGGAAGCCCAGGGGGAGACGCCATTGATTCGGGAATCAGTTTCAGGCTGGAAACACATTCAAATGTTAGGCCAGAGGAAGAATTAAAATATTATTGAGGAAACCATTTCCATTCCTAACGTCTCCCTCCCCACCATGGATAATTACACCATCTAGAGTTGTTTACCCACAGACATTTTCAAATACATTAGCATCAGTAGATGCTAGAACTCAGCTGAGCACTAGGTGGTCCTTCCCTTTCAGTCTGGGCAACTTGAAGAACTCACGCAGTTTTATCACAAGATTTATGAATCAGGGTCAGCTTCCGCCCTCAATTGTTCTCCCTCTTATTTTTATGTCAACCAAGTGAATTTAGAAACATGTCCAATTCCTCTTGAAAAAATTAGCACTGCTTGTCATATCATAAATGGATCTAATTGCAAAACCAGCTAATTTTTTAAAAAAAATATATTTTATTGATTTTTTACAGAGAGGAAAGGAGAGAGATAGAGATAGAGAGTTAGAAACATCGATGAGAGAGAAACATCGATCAGCTGCCTCCTGCACATCCCCTACTGGGGAAATGCACGCAACCCAGGCACATGACCTTGACCGGAATCGAACCTGGGACCTTTCAGTCCGCAGGCCGACGCTCTATCCACTGAGCCAAACCGGTTTCGGCAAAACCAGCTAATTTTTAAGTTTAAGTCAATGTTTAAAGACAAACATTGAAGAGTGTTTAAGAGCATGACTCGTAATTCAGATGCTTAGATTTGAACTCAGAAGTTGTGTAATTCCGAACCAATTTTTAACCTTTTGTGCCTTGGATCCTTTTTTTTTATAAACTGGCTGACAGGAGCTGACAGGTGTGAGGTAAACCCTTGGCAAGTGCACTCCCACACAAAGCTCTGAAATGATGACGGACTTATTAACAAGTACGAGGTCGAATGAGAAAGTGTGACCTATGTAGAGGAAAGGCAGAAGTTAAAATGTATTTGATGCCAATTTTTTCATTAAATCTAAACTAGTTGAAGCCTAGTAGTTTTGCTAGTTTTTACTTTCATAGTAGATTTTTTTATCTCCCTCTGGCATTCATGCTGTCATTAAGAAGAGATAAGAGCCCTACAGTCTGCGATATACTAAGACATTCAGATATCAGCTATCTCTAAAAGCATTATGGTGCAATTCTGGAAACATATGAGCCATTAGGCAGTTCTGTCTAATGGATGGAGAGAATGAAGGGGGGTCGAGGAGGGAAGGGTGAGTGAAGAGCCTTTAGCTCTCCTAAATCATCAACAGGCTATGGCAAATGAAGTTTTCAGAGTGTGGCTTCCTTCGTTTTATCTACTCACTAGGTTGCTATTACTAACACTTCATATTCTAAATATGAGCTTTCAAGAGAAAAGTAATCCCTTACACAGGCGCCATTCAGAAAATTCAGGTTCATAAAACCAACAACGTAGCTTTTCCCATGTATGTGACTGGCACAGAGGCAAAAAGCAGACATTCCAAGAGCGCAGGCCTTGGGCTATTCTTGGGACTATTACTTTCCAATGATGCCCAATTTGGAGGCTCCAAAGTAAGCTGTCTGCAAAACAGTCTCACACAAATTCTGAAACACTAGCAGACATACAGAGAAGTATATGGTCAAAATATAAGGGGTGCCCTGGCCAGTGGGGCTCCATTGGTTTAGTACTGTCCTGTGCTCCTAAAGGTTGTCAGTTCTATTCCAGTCAAGGCACATGCTGAGCTGTGGGCTCGATCCCTAGTAGTGGGTGTTCAGGAGGCAACTGATTGATGTCTTGCTTTCACATTGATGTTTCTCTCTCTCTCCTTCTTCCTTCCTTCTTATCTAAACAAATCAATTAAAAAATATGTATAAGGGGTGAACTTTTTGGCCTGCTGTGTTGGTTATGCCAAAATTACACTGTTTTAGTGACTCTGACATGTTAAAAGACACTGATAGCAGGTGTGAAAGTCGATTTTCTAAAATTTGAGATAAATCACTGGAGAGTATGTTGTTTCTGCTTTTGATTCAATCGATCATCTCCAGAGAAAGTAATTTCTAGTCACTACCAAGGGATCCCTCAATGCAAAGGCCAAAGAAAAATGCAAAAGGTGACATAAATGTTGATGTCAGGGGTTCAAGAGAGAGAAGCTACAGGCCCATTTGCTGGGATTCTCCACAATCTGTTCCTGTTGCAAACGTATCTTCATTACCAGTTATGTGGCCTGACTCCTACTATTTAACTGCTAGATGTAGTCAAGCACTTAATTCTCTACAATGTGTTGTGTCTTTACATAAGAAACCATCTTGTTATAGATCATACCATTTAACAAGACTGCAGTCACCAAAAAGGCAGACACTTTTGGTATATCTCAAAGAACAGTGTTTTTTCAAAACTGCAGGCTATTACCCATTGATTAGTTATAAAATGTATTTGGTAAATCAATTTTTTGATCAGCACAAAGAAAGAAAGAAGAAAAATGGAATGGAGGGAGGGAAGAAGAGAGACACAGAAGAAGAGAGAAAGGAGAGAAGGAAGAAGGAATGAAGACAGCAGGGAGTGATGGGGGAAGGGAGAAAGGAAGGAAAGAAAAAAATAAGAATTTTTTATAACAGCAATTATTTTATATTCATCATAAATGAATGTCTTTATCATAATGTAAATTGTATTTCTTATTGTGAAGAAATTTTGCCATGGTCAGTTTGGCTCAATGGTTAGAGCGTTGGCCCACAGGTCAAAGGGTCAAGGGTTTAGTTCCCGGTCAAGGGCACATACCTGGGTTGCAGGTTTTGACCCCCAGCCCCAGTCGGGGGTGCATGTGGGAGGCAACCAATAGCTATGTCTCTCTCACATCCATGTTTCTCTCTCTCCCTCCTTTCCACTCTTTCTAAAAACCAATTGAAAAAATATCCTTGTTGAGGATTTTTAAAAATTTTAAAAAGAAAAAAAATTTGCAAGCAAGTGCCATAGAATGTGGTCTAATATTAGGAAATAATGGCAAATTAATAAATATCTGTTACTTAATTTCTTGAAAATAGCTTATTGGAAAAAAGGCTTTAGAAAAAAGAGTTCAGGTCATTTCCTTCCCCTTAACCTGTACAGATGTTTCCCCTTTAACTTACATAGAACCATGTTATAGGATATTTTTCCTTAAACAATTCAGAGCTGGGATAATTTCAATATTAAAGAAGAATGGGAAATTCCATCTAAAATTGGGCAAGCAAGCACATGTTTCGCATGCCAGTGAGGCTGTATTGCTTACACTGGAAGAGGGATTTCTAAGCAAGTCTAAATTAACTACAGAACTGAGAAACTGAAACTGAACCTCTCTAGTGACACTGGGGCAAAGTCCCTGGGAGATGGGATAGGATAAGTGGCGTGAGAGGGTGACACCGAGTTCTGCAGACTCTACCTGCTCCAGCAGCTGTCGAAGTCGGTGGAGCTGAGACTCCAACTGCTTATTGTGATCTTCTAAAATCTGCATCCGGGCCTCTAGCCGACCCTTGTGCTGCCTGAGCAGTTTCGCCTCAGCTATAAGTTCTGAATCCTCAGATGTGTGATGAGGAGATACAATAGAGTCTGGAGGTGAGCCCACTGGGAGTCCCTTTCTCAGCTGCTGTTCCTTCAGCTGCTCGTATTCCAACTGCAAATTTCTAATATCGAAAAGCAAAAACTGAAATTACTATTGTGCACATCGTCTTCTACCCCAAATTATCTATAAACTCCAAATTTAGGGAATGCTATTTCTTTCCTCCTAGGTAAAAACATTTCTTAACAGTGAGATGAGCAAGCATGATTTAAATGGTAGCTTTACTAGTAACTGTTCTAATAAACATCATCCCTGAACCCCAAATGCAACCCAAAGCCAGCAGGCAAGCTTGGTGATGTTCTCTAAAACGTTGACTCCATCATGACTTCTTGGACAGTAGTTTGAAAAGGGAATGGGTAGGAGCCATGTTGAAGTTATTAATAAAAATTTCCCATTACAAGTTTTCCCAGAATGACATTTTCTCCCAGGTCTAGCACACCTTTGTTCTTCCTCCAACTCAGCGATGACCCGCTCCAGCTCTCCGCGTTCTGCCCTTTCTACTGACTTCAGGATCTGAACTGGACTCTGGGGCTGGCTCACGGAGGCCTCTCCTCCGAGGGTCTGGCAATACTGCTGGATGAGGGCATGCTCGTCCTCCCTGGGGAGACAAATTCAACACAGAGGCTCATGTCTGGATCTGAATGTAAAGGAAGTGGAAGCAATGATGATTAGGATGGCTGCTGGGGCAAGTTTGCCTTAAAGCTCGGTGTCCCTGTGGATGAAAAAGGGGCACTGTAATGACTATCCAAAATGAACCTCAGAGGGTGATTTGATCATAAATTCCTAACTGGGTGGGTCATGGTGGAATAAGCACACTTCAGGCCGGTAACTTCCTTAATTAAAGAAGCCCTGTCCATTGTTCTTGTGCATCTGGGTTAACACATCCTTTTCCAGACTGTTCAATGGCATAACCACCCTGAAGGGAGGACATAACTTGTTGACTAGCCTGCACCTTGCTTTGTTCCACCTTCATGTAATCCTCCTCAGTCCCCTCCTTAATTCCAAGGGTTCACCAGAAACTGCAAAGCCCTCCTTCTCTGGAGCATATCAGATCTTGCTCCCCAGCATGCTGTCAGTTTGGCTCAAATAAACACATAAAAATTCTCTACAGGTTCGGGCACTTCTGACAGCCAATGACATGTTTCTTATGACATCCCATGACCTCACTGTAAAACTCTAAGAAGATATATATCCAATACTGTATGTGTACTACAAATACCAACATTTCATGCTTTGCCTTAATCTAACATGTATTTATCACAAACCTCAGAAGAGATACTTTACTCAATAGAGGCTATAAAACAAAGTAAAATGCACAAGCAGTTAATATAAAAGATGTAGGCAAAATCAATAATTAAATGCCAAAATAGATGAAAAGACTATTAATTAAAAGTAACAGCTATAGACTGAATGTTTGTGTCTCCCAAAAATCCGTAAGTTGACGCCTAATCACCAATGATAGCAATGTCAGCTTTCCATATCTGTGGGTTTTGCATCCATGTATTCAACTAACCGTGGTTCAAAAACAGTTGTGTGTTTTTTTAAACTCCCAGAAAGTTCTAAAAAGCACTTGAATTAGCAGTATACTAACTTCACAGGAATAAAGTGATGTGTAGGAATATCCTGCTATAGCAAATATAGGTTATATGCATATAAGAACCTGAACATCCATGGATTACGGGACCAACCCCTGAGGATACTGGGGGACTGTATTTGAACATGGGGCCTATGGAAGTGATGAGGTCATGAGAGTGGAACCCCCATGAAGGATTAGTGCCTTTATAAAGGACTGAACAGACCAGAGTTCTCCCCTTCCACCTCATGAGGACACAGCAAAACGTGGCCATCTTTGAGCCAGGAAATGGGTTCTCGTCAGAAATCCTACTGGCAGGTACTTTGATCTTAGACTTCTCAGCCTCTGGAACTGTCGGAAATAAATGTGTGTTGTTTATAAGACACCTGGTCTATGGCATTTTCTTATAGTAGCCCAAATGAACTAAGACATAAGCTGATCTCACTGTCTTCAGCATTTGGTTGAAAGTCATTTTGTAATGCTCTGTAACCCAGAGAGAGGAAAACATAATCCTCATATTCTTTTATTTAAATGACTCAGCGCAAATTATAATTATATGTATTTAAACATACCTAGAGATATTTTACTTAATATTATCAGCCTGTCATTTTTCACTTGGATTCTCCCACTTTCTTAATTACGATGAACTAGACATATCAATAATATAATTAAATCTAATGACTGACAGAAACAGAAATGTAACAAAGTAGACAAAGCTGGTATGTTTATGAGAGGACGCTTTACCAGCAGGCCTGGAATCCCTTCCCTTCCTCTATGGGGAGATCCGGTCAGATCCCATCCCAAACATGCAAATGACAGATCTCCTGGCTAATGCTACCAGGAGAGTCCTGTCATTGAATACCTTGAGCAGTCTGTACGTGCTCTGTTATGGCTTTTGGGAAACAAAACCTGGAATCTAGGGTTTTATAGGATAGGACTTCATAAACACATCAGTGAAACATATATACAAGCTGATGAGTTAAAATTAGATTGGAGATGCATTTTGCTGTCAACATTTACATACATTCATTTATTTTGGGAAGCTGATGGGATTTAACATATTATATAATTATCATCACCACCACCATCATTACATCCTCTCATTAAGGTATCCTAGAAGGGAACGAAGGCAGTTTCTATAAAAAATCATTTATATCGAACCTATAATCTTAGTCTTAAGTGTTTTCACAGATTACTAGGCTGAAAAGTTAAATATAAGAATAGATACAGTGAAGTGCTTAGTTATATGCAGTGAAAAATAAGAACATATCCTTTAGATACAGATAGTACATGAAGTACTAGATTAGGGTCATTAAGTGCCAATAGTGTGCCTAGTGCTAAAATAGAAAGTGTTATAAAAATATAGATCTGCACCAATAAAATACCATTAGATGGAATATAATTATACTATGTTTAAGTCACATTTAGAAAATACTATCTAGACTACAAAATTAGTACATATCAGATGACAAAAGAACTGTGACTCATCCAATGAGCTTTTGAAAGTAGGCAAGACATAAATAAAAAATAATCATCTTCCTTTAAAGGATAATTCTGTTCCAGGCTTCAAACTTGCAAATAGTGATGCTGGTGCAAACCATGCCAGCCTCCCGATGTGACCCTTCCACATAAAACTGTGTGGCTAGGGCAGATGCCAGATGAAGTGAGACATCCTGATGGCAAGGGCCTTGAGTTCCTGCTACTGAGATTTCTCAGAACAGCCCTGTGTCTCTTTGAGACATGGTTGCTTAATTCCTCTGTCAAAGAAAATTAGTATCCTTAACATTAATGTCCTTTAAATTGCCCAGAGTCAGACTTTCAGAGGAATAAGGAGAACTTGGATTTGGTTCTATGTGTGATAAAGAGCTGTGAGACTGATTCAAGTCTAGGTAGGAAGGTAACAGCCCATGATGCAGAGAGAAGCAACAACCAACCAGCGTCACAGAAGATGACTGCTGTGGGACTCAGGCAATTGGTTCTACCAATCTGAGGGACAGAGAAAAACTCAAATATAAATGACTAAAGAGCCTTGGATAACTTAGAGAGAATTTTAGGTTCACATCTCAAAATTCATACCTCAAAGCCTAGGGCTTTCTTTTGTTGACTATGGCTGAGACCACCCAAACCAAATATAGGATATTGGTCTAGAGATGTTGAATTACAAAATCTTTTGAATATACTTCCCACTACTATCTATATTATCTACCTATCTATACTTCCTGCTATTACAAAAGGTCCTATAAGATACAGACAATCTTTGTCTGTGAAGCTGGGTCATGAATGAACAATGGGATTGGAACAAGGACAATGATAACCACCAGGGAGACTGGATGGATTTTCAGATGCTCTGACCCCCTCCCATCCCCATCTAGGAAGCCATCTCCTCCCAAAGCAGCTGAGACAGTGGGGTGGTTAGAAATAGTCAGGGCAGGGGTGCTTAAGCCTAGAGCCAGGCTGCCTGGGTCTGAATCCCAGCTCTACCACTTACTGACTGTGAGACCCTGGGCAAGCTCCTTAACATCTCAGGGCTTCAATTTATTCATCTGTAAAATGGTGGTAACAAGAACAAGAGTATCATCTCAAAGGGTTCTGTGAGGATTAAATAACCAAAGATGGGCAAAATGCTTAGAACAGTGCCTGGCTCTTAGTATGTTCTATTAAGTAGGAAGCAGAGGTTGTTTTTGCACCATCACCACTATTACTCAAGAGAAACCTAATAGTATTTTTATAACTCAGCTCAGAATAACAAAAATCTCAACTCAAGAGGGCTTTGGGGGAAGGTGAAGGATTTGAGAAAGAGAACAATTCTAAAAAGCATTATAGAAATGTATTAACTCATACCACTTTTTACTTAAGGCACTCTGAGGTAGTTTTTCATCTTTCCCAAGAAAAAACAATACAAATTGCTAATAGTTTGACATTGGTTGCCTCAAGACAGACCCGAGCATGAAGCAGAAGAGCTAATGCTTCCTTGAGAAGCACTGCCCCTTCCTTGTTCAGAAGCTGGCGATACTGTTAAATGGCACTAAAAACTGCCATCTATCGTCTCTTGGGATTACATCATGACCCTACCAGTGCTGAAGCTTTAGGAAATTTCCAGGGAAAGGCCAGAGTGTTAGAGTATGTTGCTTACTTCCTGCTCTTACAAAAATGTCCTGGGAGACACATAAACTTTGATCCAAGCTAAAAGCAAAGAAAGAACAGCACAGCATCTTGTCAAGAGCAGTTAACACTTCTTCCTACATCCTATGATCCAAATGCTAAATTATTGATGGGAAACAAGCTGGAGAGCCAGAGAAATAGTGACACTTAGTTCTTAAACCTTCCTTCAAAAATCCGAAGATATACCATCAGTCCCCAAAAGGTAAGAACCATCCTCATTGTAAGTCTCTATCCATTGTGAGAAAAGGAATTTATTGTAGTAATACTTCTTTGTCTTGTCAAGTACTGATTAAAATGGAAATACTTAAATAAGTAAATATACATTTGAAGAAGGGTGACCGCTGTAAGTCAAACCCCTGGGTTTAAGGTCCAGAGTAGGGATTACTGATCCAGAGTCCTTGTTAGTATTCTCCCTGAATAGCCGAACCCTCATATGTCCACAGCAAAAGAACCTTAGTTTACTAAGTCATTCAAACTGTGGAAGAGCAAAGACCTTCTAAAACCAGCTTTATCAAAATAAGATGTATTGACATATGCATTAAGAATGCACCAGTAACTGAGAAACAATTTCTCTTTAGTGGTTTATACCTTTCTGCACTATTAATTTAACTTAATCTTACATATCAGGGAGAATTTGTTCCCTCGCCTTTCCAGTGCCCAGAGGCCACCTACATTCCTCCATTTTCAAAGCCAGCAGAGTTAACATATGCAAATCTCTCTATAGCTCTGTTCTGCTTCCATGGTTACATCTCCTTCTCTAACTCTGACTCTTCTTCCTCTTATAAGAACCCTTGTGATTACATTGGGTCCACCCAGATAATCTAGGATAATCTCCCCGTTTTAAGATTCTTAACTTAATCACACATGCAACGTTCCTTTTGCCATATAAAGTGACATATTCAGAGAATTTGGGGCTTAGGATGTGGGCTTATTTTGGGGGCCATTATTCTCTCTACCACAAATGCCCTCGCCATGCTCTTCCCCTGTCGGAACACTTACCTGCCTTCTGTCTAGTATGTAAGAATCTTGAAGATACACTATCTACATCTGCAGACCTTTATAGCACTGGGTACATGGCAGTGGTATGCTAGTAACTGGATAACAGCAGGTTCTCTAAAAGAAAAAGACCCTGGATTTTCAATTTTTATGCTTTAAGTGCTTTCATCACAGCCAATTTAAGCTAATGACTCCCCTGAATGGGAAGTTGGGAAAAGATATAGAGGTATATACCATCTGACCAATACAAAAAACTACCCCAACAACATACATTTGTAATAAAGTAAAATAAGCAGGGCATGATTAGTTTTGAGTATTACTTTTGTTTCTATTTTAATCCTATCTATTTAGTTGTAAGTGTATATAAAATAGTTTTAAATAATGGCTCTCTTTGACAAACAGCTTAAAACTTCTTGAAAATTAACACCTTGCTCTCACAGTTGGTTCCAGCACACCAGTGCACAGTAGGAATATAATAATTATTTGTTGGATGGATGAATGAGTTAATACATCTATCGATAGTATACGTAATTGTATTCAGTTGTTAATCACCTGGTTATTTTTTTTTCCTGACATTTAGTGCTAAATTTAAAAATAAATAGTGTTGATTTTAATTTGAAGATAGGATATACTAAATTTGAGCATTATCTTTATTGTGTTCACAGGATATGACAAACACATTTTAAAGATTTTAAATTTGGTTAGAATTCGTTATTACCAACTTTGGTAGAAATAGTTGATTTAGAAGATATTCAATATATTTAACTATTTTATATAAAATACATACTACTAAGTTAAATATGAAACAAGCATTATGAATATGGTATCTTGTTTGGGAATTGTTGCAAACTCACAGTACATGAATAATAATGTATAAATTACTGCTGTATTACTGTAAAGTATTAACATGCTAACCTTTGGAATGTAAAATTGAAAAATCTTCTGAGAACCTTTATTTGTAAGCTTAATGATAGTAAACTAGTTTTTAAATATTGACAGGGAAAATTCCTATATTAGAGTACCTAAGTCAGTTCAACTTGGCTCTCTAGATGGTTCTTTTTAATATAAAACATCTAAGTACTATATTCTACAATGTTCTTTACAGCTTCCCATTAGATCCAAATGGCAATGACCCTGAGTAAGTCAGGTAAACTTGACACTACTGAAATCCTTTAGACATCATTCAGAATTAAAAAGGTCAATTGCACGGGGTGGGGGAAGTAAAGTTCCAAAAGCACAATGACACACAACAATGTCAAATAAAATATCTGCCTAGAAAGGTTTATAAGAAGTATTCTAAAGTCAGTCAGGCGTTTCTTAGTTGCTAATCAAATATTGGCAAAAGAGGTAACACTTTTCAATGAATGGTGGGGAGTATACGTATGTCCAAGTGCATGTGGGCCATAGTTGTTAAATGGCAGGGATTATGGAGGAAATGTGAGCAGGAGGATGATGATTGTACAGATGGGCCTAGATTCTGTGGAATTACATTTGTTAAATTAACAAGAAATAGCATACAAGTAGAATGACTATCTGCACCTGCATTAATTAATAAAACAATCTGTTTTTCGTGAAGAAGATTAGCTGCCAAATGTAGGATTTTTTCATTAATTCATTAATTTATATGAAAGTAAATAAATATATCCAATTTATACCACCATGGCTTGAAAGTATAAAATCTATTCAGACATATTTGTAACCACACATCAATTTTGATTGGGATCAAAATCCAGAGCCTCAATCAGTATAGATGATTTCCGCCAGCCATAGTACAAGAACTAGCCCACCGGGCAGCACTGATTTCATGATTTACTTACACACTTCCTGTGGTAGAGCTGCTATCGGTGAGGAAAGACCCATTGCTCCTTTCCATTTGGGCCAGTCTGAAAAATGAAAATAAGGAGGTTAGGCAAGGTAGCCACATGGGCATAGTCCACTGGAGATAAAACCCCAGTCATTTTTAAACTGTCATAAAGTCAAAATATAGAAAGGTCCAAATATCCTAACAAGATTGTGACATTAAAACATCTAACGTTGAGTTACATTTCTATCATCACTGACTTAAGGCCTATAGGCCTTTATCTTATACCATGTGCTACAGTCTTCTAATTGACTTAGCCTCCTACTTAACCTCCCAGACCCTCAAGTCCATCTTCATTCTCACACAAATCTATGTTCCGTTCATGTTTCAAGATTCTCCATTACTCCTCATTACCTCAGAACATCATCCAACTCCCTTAGCAAGTGGGCCCTACTTTATTGGACCTCAGCTTCTGTCCATCCACTCTCATTCCTGACCCTTTCCCTACCTGCAGTTCTTTGAACAAGCCATGTTCTTTCCCAGCTCAATGCTTTTGAGAATGTTTTTCCATTTGTTCAATCCTGGCTTTTCCCAGAAATTCTACTTGGCTAAGACCCAGTTCAAATGTTACTATGTTTATAATGCTTGAATTAACCTTTTTAGGCATAGCTAGTTACTAGCACTGTAGACACCTAGTATACCTGTTTTCTGAAAGTTTCTGCATTCCATCAAGACCAGTCTATTCTTTATATTTTGAGGGGGGACTTTAAAATAAACCCCTGGAATAAAACATTAGCATAGAGTAATTACATATTGTAACTCATACGTGCACCATCTCCTCAGAACACTTTCAATCTCCACTTTCATTCAACTACACTGGGTTACATTGTCTAAATCCTGCTTGTGCAGTGCTTGGATTCCCATGAGCTCAATAATCATATGCTACTGAGTTACTCTTTATAGAATGTGTAGCAAGTATTTGGTAAAGTGCAAATTACAACATGGAAGATGAGAGCCTGGATTACAAATATAATAGAATCATGGCTCCTATAAAACAATATTCCTTAAGTCAAGGCACATTAAAGATATCGGATTAATACAGACATAGATCCATTCTGGGAGGCAGTGTAGCAGAGGGCTGCTATCAAAAATTTCTTACCGTGTGGCATACTGTTCTATTCTTGAATGGGTATCATCATGAAACAGCTGAGGAGACTGTGAAGGGCTATAAAGGAAGATGCAAATAAACAGTTTTATACCCACATATTGATAGATGTTCCTATTAGAAATGTTAGCTTAGTTAAATAATAAATTTGCCATGCAAAGAAACCACTAGGATTGTTACCCGGGAGGCAGAACAATTATTTTAGAATGAGAGTTTAGTAATCACCCCATGCTAACAAAACTGATCAGAACATCCTCCTCCGCATATGGAGCCGTAAATACTCACTCATAATGCTCTGGCCACATACTGATGAGTGTGATAGGACTGCAGAGAGGGGAGAGGGAGACAAAAGGCACAGAACAAACACTTTAAAGCAAGTTAAGACAAAAGCTCTGGGAGGTGAGGGTGGGGAACATTCTCAATTGTCTTCCTTTGCTCTGTTAGGTTTCACCATTGAGAAATCAAGTCACAGAAGTCATTGTTAATTCTAGAGAAGATGCTGATATTTAAGAGCCTGTGGGGCCTTTTACAGACATTTACAGGTATTTGTTACAGAACAGAAAACACATCTTTAAATATTCTTATTGGAAAAAAGAGACCGAATGCTCCAAAATAGCTCAAACTTATAAACAAATTTTAAAGATAATATTCCATAATATACTGAGGAAAGGTGCAATCACATTTTTGTTTACCTTTCTGACCAAGTTGACCAGAAAGGTAAAGTTAAATACCAATATATTATACGTATTGATGGCAGAGTTGCAATAAAATAAGACTTTTCTGATTTTGTGTCCAAATTTAAATGTAAACATTCAAATCCAAGCATACACCAAGTATCTGAACCTCACAGATATATTTTAAAAAGATGTAAAGTCGATATCTCTGTAACCCAGATAGCTCCCTCACATCCCACCAAAAATTTCACATTGTCAATAAAAGTGAAAATAACTTTTTTAGATCATGATATACTTTTTTCATATAAAATTTTATCCAGAAGTTCAATCTATAAAACTGATAAACAAACTTGTTCTGCTTGAAGCAGGGCTTGCGTCTGGAGTGAGATCATTCAATATTACTCCTGGCCTTGGGGGTCCCCTCCAACCTCACAGCGCTGCCTAGAAATCCCCAAGTCTCCATGAACTACGTTTTGAAAACAACTGATGCTAATTTAAAACTAGCTCAAACCCTAACTTTTTTTTTTGTGAGAGAGGGGAGGTACTACTGGTGAATGTGGATATTTAAAAGTCTGAAATAAAGAAAATCACTTCTCTATTTAATTCAATAAAGTCTCCTAGAAAAGCCAGTGCTGACTGAAACAAAGAAGGGAAGCTGAAATTATTTCAGTTCTACTTGATTCTCCTTTACCTATCATACATACATGCTTAAGAAAAAGTTAATGATCTTATCTCCTATTGGGAGGCACAAGTTGATGTCTAAATAGCAAAGACCAAAAAGGGATGGAAGGTCGTCTTATTGGGATAAAAAACTAAGACCCTTTGGACCTACTTTCAAAAACAGGCATTTATCCAGGCTGTGTTTGTCAGATGATCTATACTGTAAGTAGACTTAATTATCCATGCATAGAACAGATACAAGAACAATGAAACAATACTGTACTATTCAATAGCCTTTTTACATCACTACGTTTCATTAACTCGGAACTAGGGATGTTAAATGTCAGGTGAATGGACTACTCTATACGTTCCAAAAAGCTGTAACTGCTTGAGAGATCATTTCTGGAATTCAAGGGCATCACAACATTTACTGTGAACTTTAAACACAGAATGAAACATTTTTTTTAAAAAAAATCTTAATTGAACTTGGAAAGGCTTTGTAAAACTGCTTGGTTGGTTCTTGTGAAGTTAAGTCAGTGTGCACAAAAGTGGTTCATTGAACTAAGATAAGAATGGCAGAGGCAGAGAGCAGAACTGAAGAGTTTCTCAAAAGAATGTGTGTTTTTTTTATATGTTGAGAGATTTTCTAAGAAAAGAAATAAAGATTAAAAAAATGAAACTTAATGCTTCATTGACTTCCAAGTATTTTGATTGGTAGGAAAAACACACACACTCTTAAGTGATAAGCTTTCTCATTTAACTCTGGAAGAAAAAAAAAGGCAATATTCTCAGTGAGTAGTTAGAATCTATGATTAAAGGGGGTTAAAAATAAGATGGATCTGTGTGTTAGCCTAGATTTACTAAAGCTCCCCCTGCTTCCAGAGCAGTGGCTGAACAGGTTGGTCTGATTAATCACACACTAATATGCAAGGAATCCGACTCTACTAAATACACTCACCAGTATATGAAATATAACCCAGATTTTCTTTGAAGAACTTTGTGGCTCTTTTAGTGCATTTAATTCTGAACAGACTACTTCTGCTTCCAGTCTTTTGCTTTGTTAAATCCATTGGTCCCAGAGCAGGGTAAGAGGGGTCCCCTCCTCCTCTCACATATAAACCTTCAATGGCTCCTGACTGCTCTCAGGATAAACTCCAAAAACCCTGGCATGGCTTACAAGGCCCTTCATTTTCTGGTTCCTGCTTCCTTCTCCACTCTCATTTCTTGCCACTATTCCCAGCTTCCCATCCCAGTTTTAAAAACAATCTTGACTCCGGGACTTTGAAAATGTTTCCCTTGTCTGGAAACTCTCCCTTTCCTCCTCCCACACCAAACACTGAATGTTTGGCCCTTCCATCACTCAGGTCTCAGTGTAGTTGTCACTTCTCCAAGGCCAGTGCTCCCACAACCATAATTACACTTCCTATGACTTGCTTCTCGCTACAGTAAGAATTTAATAACCCATGCAATTTATCTATTCCACCTTAGCCAATGTCAGGGACAGGTGTCTACATTAATTCTTTAAAATGTAGGAAACCCAACCTAATTTTTTACCCAATAATTCTCTCACAATTCTCAAATTATTTTTGGCACTATTTTAACTTGTTTCTCGGGTTTTTATTCAATGGTAACTTTTTAATCAAGCTCTACTCATTTATTTTGATTGATGTTTTGAGAAATCTTGCAAAGTTATAAAATTAATTAAATACCTAAGCATGGGTTTATTTACCTTCTTTTAGTAATAACTCCTTTTTTCCATAAATCCCCTCCACACATTCAAGTATAATTACTGGATAGCGGATAAGATTACATTTTGCGGTGATAAAAGAGAATGTAGAAGAAACTTCTAATCAGCTTCATAAATAACTTCCACACATTTACCACTTCGCTGGTTTTTCTCCAATGTTCTCCTCCCACAAATAGGAGAATAAACGAAATCAAACTTTTTTACTACCCACTCACATAAATTGTTAGAACAGAAGATTAAGTGGCCTTGTGCTAGAGAGGGCTCAGCAGAAAAATGAACTACAGCAAGTATAAGAACACGTTTCAGGATTTAAAAAAAAAAAAAATCTACCCACTCTAAACAGTAGCTCATAAATCTTTTTCAAAATGCATCTTGTGACATCTGATTTAATTTTATACGCCTTTTCTTTCTCTTGTTTTCCGCTCACTGAAAATGCTGGTAAATTTATGTTAGATGAAATGAAACATTTTCAGAGTTACAGCCAAAAATCCTAGCACAAAATTATTGGCAAGCTTTTCTGTTCTTTTTTTACTTTAACCGAGTCACTCAGAATAGAATGATGGATGCCAATGATTATTTTGACACTGAAAGGCAAATTATCAAAACTGCTTAAAAGGACTATAAAAGATCTATTCGTCTGCATGACTCACAGAAGTATATAGATACTTGAGGCACAAAATGCCAATAACATATCAAAAGAGTGAAAAGCACATCGCCAGTTCAAACCTATCAATTATCCCATAAAAAAAGCACTGTCATAATTCTATGCTTCAATTGCTTGTATTAAAATTTTTCCTAAAGTAGTGTGGAAAAGATGACTTGGAGGCATGTATATTAATTGTACACAGTTTGATATCAAGCAAAGGTACCAAAAAGTTTGATTTTTTTCATATGCTTTAAATGTGTACATGACACTTTTTGAGCTATTTATATATACAGCTGCCTTATATTTCTTTATATATATATACACCCATAATATTACCTACAGCAGCATAAAGACATCCACTATGCTTTGGCTGTGGTCTTTTTTCTACTTCTTAGCAGTTTCACAAATTTTAAAAAATACATTTGCACATAAATGTATGTATAGAGCTTTATATGGAAAAAAATTCAGACCAAACAGTCTATCCCTCTATTTTGACATCTTTGAGACATGCAGTGTTATAATACACTGGACCATTACTGTTCTCAGATTATGTCTCTATGAGTTTTGAAGGTTAAAGAAAGTTTGAGTTCACAAAAATTGTACCTGGAACACTTTTAATACTTCTCTACTGTATAATGTAAAGAACCCCCCACTTCACATGTCTGAGCTTGTTTTATAGTCATTTGAGAGAGCATCTTTCTGTAACAAGAGCCTAACTATTCCTTACGAGTAGGAACCCTGGTGATAATTAGCAATTAAGGTTAATTTTCTCCAAGATTCAAGCACACACGAAAATATTTGCTTTGGCAGGTATATTTAAGCTGATATTCTAAAGATTCAAAGATTTAAATCATATCTATTTTTGATCTTTATATATAATTATTTAGTAATTTAAAATTACTTCTTACATTTGTTCTGGCTCATTTTCAAAATTCTTCTTTTTATTTCAGGCTATAAGTTATAATTTTTCTTTGCTTTAAAATCCAATAGTAATTTTGTTACCTTGAAACTTTATTTCATTTATGCTTGTATACACAAATTATAAAATTTAAAGAAGTTGTGTCAATCTCATGTACTATATGTTTATTTTTAAAATATGTTTTTATTGATTTCAAAGAGGAAAGGAGAGGGAGAGAGAGATAGAAACATCAATGATGAGAGAGAACCATTGATCTACCTCCTGCATGCCCCCTACTCGGGATCAAGTCTACAACCTGGGCCCTTGACCGGAATCACACCCGGGACCCTTCAGTCCGCAGGCTGATGCTCTATCCACTGAGCCAGCTAGGGCTATATCATGTACTCTACAAAGCTATTTCATTTTGCTGTCATGTTCAAGACAAAAGAAATTAGAATGTAATGTTAGATTTTGATGAGATTTTAGTATAGGTAGATATCTGAAGCAAGATAAGTATTAATAAATTTATATTAAAAGTATATAAAATAAGTGTGAAACGCACTATAAGAAATAGTAAAACATTCCCGAAAAAGGGAAAATGGGAAATAAATAAAATAATTAAAGAATATACACTATTACAATTTGCTTTAAGTGTTTTGAAGAGGAAAAGAGATAACCAATGCAAAGATTAACACATTCATACATATTTGTAAAGTATAGGAACAAGTGCACAATGGAACCCAAAATTTTAGCTGTGACACTGTCAAAAGCAAACAGTAAAAATTTATGTTGTAAAGACTGATTCTAAGTTTAATTGATCTCCTTTAAAATGGAACAGTTTACCAAAACACAAACAGTTTTTGGTATCAAACAATTTCTTTTGTGTCCTTAACATAATAAATGACACTATCAGATATAAGTACAAACATTAAAATTAAACTTACGTCTCTAAGTTGTCACCTTCAAGAACGGTCTGGACAGGCAGGTAGCCAAGCCGAGGATGTTTGGCAAAGTATTTCTTTGATCTGAACTTATTCTTCAGCACCTTTGTGAAGTCACGTACATCTTCCCCAGATGTTGTCTATGAGGTTGAAAAAATTACACTTCTCTCATTAAAATGGAAGAAGATAACTTTATACAATAAATAGACCAGATGTAAATTAATGCAATTAAATGACAATAGTTTCAGTAGCTTTATGTATTTTTTGGAATAACACACAATGTTATGAAAGCACATAGTATTCAGGACTCATCATTAAATTAGTTTATATATTTTTTATTTCTTATTGAAAATAAAACATAGCTAGCTTATTTGCCCAATATTTTACAAATTAGGCCAAAAAGTTAAATTAGTTTTGGGAATTTTATTGCCTGATTCCCATCTGTAAATAAGTTGCAGTTTATTATTAAACATTTAGGGATGATGAAGTATGATGGATATTATATGGTTTTAACTAAGGTGCAGAAATGAGCACTGTACCAGGCTGCTTTGCCAGTCTGGCTCAGCCAGGGCAGTGTACAAAACAGTGTTTTTTTTAGTATGGTCACATAACTGTGTAAATATCATCACTATGGAATTCCAGAACATTCTCATCACCCTGAAAGAAAACCTACACTCATTAGCAGTCATTCCCTCTCACGTACTGTCTCCTCCTCTCAGCCCCTTGGCAACCACTAATCTACTTTTTCTTTCTATGGATTTTCACATTCTGGATATTTCTTATAAATGGAATCATACACTATGTGTGTTTTTTTAATGACTGGCTTCTTTCATTGGCATAATGTTCTTCTAGCTTATCTATATTTGGGATTCAACATGAACTCCTCCTGCTTGGGAAAAACATAATTCAAAAGTGCAAGTCCAATTCCACATGATACACTTTTTAGCTAAATATATTTAGGACATGGAAAAACAAAGCAAAATCACCAATCAACAAATAAACAACACCTACCTGCCTCCCAAAAAGTTGCAGCAGGGGCTGGAATTAAATTTGAGTTTCTGATATAAGGCTCAAATTTAATATTTGAAAAAAGTGAGTTCATTCTTATACAGAAATGGCACATTTTTATTTCATCAATTTCCATATCAAGGGGAAAAAAAGTACCACCAACATTTGTAACCTAAAGGCACTGCCATAAACTTTATGCAATATTAAAAGCAAAAGCAAAAAGTAATTCATCCCACAGGAACTAGTTATTATATTCAGTTCAGTAGAATGTAATTCTTTAGTTGGAATAAAGCCAAGAAAATGAATTAAATCTATTTTCTCACCAGAAAAGTTAAAAGACATTTATACATATTTGGTCACATTTTCTATGTAATGACAATTCCTACTACTTCTCTGTTTTAAGTGCTAGAGCAATAATTTGGTAAAAGTGAAAAAGAGGACCACCCACTTGTAATGAACATAAATAATCAAACTTAACTCTGTCTTCATGCTAGGTATAACACTTTTTTAAGCAAGTAGCTATTTATATTATGATATGAAGATGAAATTGAAAGGACCCTCCATTACTACACAAATTACCCAATTCTTTAAATTATCTTTGCATTTCTTGAAAGACTAGGTTTTCATTTGTTGCTGTAAATGAAAAGGAGAACAAAAGACTTTGCAGACCTCATGAGATGAAATGAGGGTAGCATACTGGCACAGAGCCCTGCACCTTATAAATAGCCTTCCTTCAATCTTTTTCCATCAAGGGCAGTGAGATCTTCATCACTTTTGTGACCCATAAGGAAACTGACACTAAGGCTTTGGGGGATTCAGACTTACAAGGTCAGTGAGGAGAAAGCTGCTCTTGCAAACCCAGGTCTTTTCACCATATGTCACTTCTACAAAACTGAAACAGTTTTAAGTCTTGTAAGAGGAAAAAACCCATATAGCCATTGACTAGAAGATTTATGATTACATTCTAAATTTCCCCTTCATTTTAAATAAGTATTGCTAAGAAACCCTGTGGTTGGTTTTTGCAAAATTTACATGGACATGTCCAATCTACAACTAAATAGACCTCACTATGTAGAGAAGGAGAGAAGTGCAAATTTCTAACTCGTTGAACATCCAGAGACAACTACTGGTAAGTGTTTGTGACCGGGCCTTCCTATTTCCAGGCCTTCACTCCTATGTCCGGTCCCGCCCCTCGGTAGCTGGGATGCAGGCCAGGAACAGCAGGAGCCAAGATGGCGGCTGACAGCACATCCCTGGTGTTCACAGACCAGATCCACAAAGAGGATGTTCAGCTTCACCTCAGTGGTATGAGGAAGCTGTTTACCACAGTCGCAGCCCTTGGGTGGCAAGGGCTTACAGCTTATTTTAAAACTAGAGGCCCAGTGCACAAAATTCATGCACGGGAGGAGGGGGGGGGGCCCTCAGCCCAGCCTGCATCCTCTCTAATCTGGGACTCCTCAAGGGATGTCTGACTGCAGGTTTAGGCCCAATCCCGGGGACATCCCTTTCACAATCCTGGACTGCTGGCTCCTAATTGCTCACCTGCCTGTCTGCCTGGTCACTCCTGACTGCCCCCACACTGCAGGCCTGCTCGCCTCTCACTGCCTCTGCATGCTGGCCTGATAGCCCCTAACTGCCTCCCGCTGCTGGCCAGGTTGCCCCAAAATGCCCCCTCCCTGCTGGCCTGGCCAAC